ATATATATATATATATATATATATATATATATATATATATATATATATATATAAAACGCTAGGCATCGCGATTTAATAATGTCCAAATACATTTAACTGGTGTAGTAAAATAGTCACGGTGTCATCAATCTAACAGACATATCACGTGACTCTAATCCGCCCCCTGTCGAGCGCCCACAAACTCATAATTTATAACAAATTTAGCCACGCTAGGGTAATTTGTCAAGATAGCCGTCTCACGCTTTACTGGACAACGCTTTTGTCACCCCCGTCTCCCGTGTTATTTTCCGTCGGGGTCCTGGCTTTTCACACTGTACTTGTGTTCTATTCCAGGCGTTATTTGCATGACAAAGTAAAGTAAGCGGTGCATTTCACAGTCGGCAAACTCAGTCAAGTGTACGAAGGACAAAGTTGGAGGAAAACTCATCCAATCCCCGAGAGTAAAGTGCCTTGCTCGTCTCTGAACACCACTCCCAATGAATTAGAAAATCGGAGATCGCGACATTGACGTGATGAAATGGACCATTCGATCGGACAGGAAACGACTCCATGTGCATTGAGAGTAAAGATTTGATGAAGAAAAATGATCTTGGATTTTGTGACTCGAGTTGTGTATGAAATGTATAGTGAAGTTTGACCTGGATTTAAACTGATATAGACCCCGAGTTGATACAGGCCAGCTATGCTAATACCATTTTACTATAGCCAAGAAGTCGATTTGTGTGGGAAAACTGAGATACACTCATACAGTTAAGTAATGGTCATAAATTCCTATACTGTTATTGGCTATTATTGAAGCTGTAAATCTGCTATGAGTGATAGGACACCCGGAAGGAACAGCGCAGGGGAGTTTGCAGGCGAGGGCACGTCGCAATGGCCACTAGGATCGCCGCTCAGCAGCGGTGTTGCTCGATGTAACGTCACTCGCGGTCAGATTGCCACTAATACGCCAATAGTAAGTAGAACTGAGCGACCTTACGCTACACATGTTGATCCACACTTAGCAGATCAAGAAATCGGCGTAATCTCTTCTCATAGCCTTGGCGGAGCGACGTGCAGCAGTGAATCACCGCTAACCAAACAACAACACCGCACGTTTTCACATCGTATTTCACCGCCGACATCAGGTCACCCATTCACACCGCGGCTCGGTTCTACAACCCTAGCTGATGACGACGTGTTTCTCAGTCAGGGACAGGCGGGGCTGTTAAGTTACGGGTACAGTCAAGAGGAGGCCGCTGATTTGAGCATCACTCGGACTAATACGAACACTCTATTTCCAAGCCAACATGGCGACTTGAACGAAAGCGGCAAGAGTGTTCTTGGAGTACCTAGCGATAGGTTGAACTATTTTGCGCCCCGACCGCATCGTTCTACGGGAGACATTTATGACTTGACAACGATTCGACCTCCCGACACTCAGTTATATCGACATGTACCACAAGGTCAATCTGAGACAGGTCACAGTACAACAAGTCACACTTCAACCGTAGCCGCATCAACTATGCAGGCTCGGGGAATGAACGCACCTTCTTACAAGACTAGTCCGGATACCGCACGCGCTTACCGATCCCACGAACTATCGCCCCCGTTCCAATCCAGTCCATCAACACCGCGGAAATCTCCAGACACCAACAGAAGTCGGGCTGTCAGTCCACAACTGCGTAAGATACCAAGTTATCTGGTGAAACAGGAATTGGGACCCACATACATGCCAGAAAGTCCCTATTCAGACGACGAAAATGACATTACCTCTCATATTGATGAGAGAAAAGAAAAAACTAGGGAACATTTGAAAGTGGAAACAGATGATACCCATAAGGTGTCACACTCCCCTAGGGAGGTTAGTCACAAAAAATATGGACACAGAAGTCGGAGTCATCGCAGGACAACAGATCCTATGCTTTACACTGAACAAAATGAAACAGATCATATGACTTCTTCACCTGAGAAAGTTCAAGGGATGATGACCTGGCAGTCAGAAGCCTTATCTGCAAAAAGAATGGTGAGAGACAAGGTACAGGAATATTTGGAATCATCTGCACAAAATTATTCACCGAATTCAAGTTTTGAGAATAGTTTTGGGGCAAATAGACCTACATATTTAGGTTTAGCAGATATTCAATCTATATCTCGGTCACAGCTAAAAACTGTCAAGTTGTCAAAAAATCTAGCGTCGTTTAACAGTATTACTCCATGCAGTTCACGAAGGACTAGTTTTTCAAGTATTGTGAGTACTTCAGATATTGTGGGCAAGGACATTGACCTTGAACTGGACGAAGACAAGTGTAAAACAGAATACAGTTTGAAATCGGTCAGTCCAAAAACCCGAACACAAACTTGGTTACTCTCACCAATTAGTCCCGCTATGCAAGAGCCAATAACTGATTCTCGGAGTCTATTTACACCGAGCAATGAACATGAAACATTTCAAATGGATGATGTAAGTATTGAAAAACAATTTACACCAAGTCCTGGTTCTAGGTTTTCGTCATTACAGCCTCCCTCGTACAAAAGTCCAAAGAGGTCGGGTAGTGAGGATTTCCCTGAGTATGTGCAGTGTGATACTTCCGCAATTACAAAAACAATGCAACCGCCGAAAACAGATGATGATGACGAGGGAATCGGCACGGAACATAACATACCGGTTGGTACGATGACATTACGACTACCTAAATTGCCGGATTTTAAAATGTTACATACTGTTGAGAAATCTGAAAAAGTTGAGCCACTCTTATCAAAAGACAAGCTATGTCTCAAGTCATTAAAGGTGAAGAAGTATATGCCAATTAATAGAAAAGAATCACCGGCTGACTCGTCACTTAAATCGTCTGACAGGTCAGACAATGTAAAGAGCAAACGGAATGGTGATCAAAATGGTGGAAATGGGTGTACAAACGGTAGGTCTCGCAGTGATCCAACACAAGATCGTAAAAGATTACCTGAGGAATCGGAAAATGTGTCGCGTGATAGTAATCTTTTAAGCTCGCTGAATGTCGGAGCATGCCCATCCCCTGAAGGAGTATTAAGTGATGGCAGTGATATTTCTATTTCTACTATAGGAGACTCCATGGACCAAACCTATACGCAAGTGTACGAGTCTGTCGTCAGTGAACCGTCTGGAATATCGGATCATCATGATACTAGAAATGGTAAAAATAAGAAAAAATTATCCCTGACGTGGCCCAATGGTGACTCAGCCCACAATAATTTCATACCGGTGCAGAGACAACCCATACAAAGTGCTTCCAGCGAACCTGTCATACCAGAAGTGGAACAGGAGGTGGACGGCGATGAAGATATCATTGAGCCTCTCAAGCTTTCGTTTGATGAAGAAAAGGATGACGATATGAAAATTGATAAACGTATTATTGGTCTGTCCCTGCCGTCAACGGCAACGGCGACGCAAAAAAGAAAAGAACGAATGCGTAAAAGTCGCAGCGAGGATAAAGAAAGCGGCAAAAAACCTAAAGTTAGCATTGTTATACCTGAAAATATCCCTGAGCCTCCACTAAGCCCAGGGACACTTAAGAAATCACCATCTATTGGAAAAGATGACTTGTCAAAACATTTCACTTTGATACCAAAAGTTTCTTGCAAAACTATTTCAACTCCCAACTTGACTGTAATGCAGCAAGCCTCGGTTGGGGATGAACTTGGATCACCAGCTACACCAACTACCGTATTGACTGAGTCTCGGTCATCAGCGTCACTGCCAAGGAACATTACAAGTATTTCACCAGACAAAAAACCAACTAAACAAAATGTAAGTAAATGTTTAACTATATTTCTTCTCATTGTACATTGATTTGCATACACACTATTTTCACTTATTAGAATGTCCTGTACATAGCGAATGTAAATGAACATTTTTTTTTGAGGGGGGGGGGAAACTGAATGTTGTCACATGACACACATAACAGTCCTAATTTTGATCATGCAATTTAAATTATTTAATTTCTAGTGATATAGTTAATGCTGATGAATTCAGAACTGTATTTAGATTCTCTATTGAATTTTGTTACAAGCACACAAGGCTGGTGCTTCAGTTATTAGAAAAATATGGTATATTTGTTATAGTAAATGGGGCCTCTGTCATGTTTTTTCAGTGTTGCATGAAAAATAAAGGAAGACAATAAACATTGAACTTGATGCATGTATAAAAATAGTGAGGAGTTAGCAAATTGCCATCACCGAAGATATTCTTGGCACAATGCATGTGTGTACTATGACATGATTTATAATAATATATTCTAAAAATGTACAAAAAATCTACTACGCCAGGATAAATTTAAATAACAGTACCGTAAAATCTGTATTAGAAGCTGCATCCCTAATAGAAGTCGCACCCTTTTTTTTTTGAACAATTGAGACCCAAAACTTCACGATTTTTCATATGTGTAGATGCTCTAATAGAAACCGCATCCCCCCTCTTGCATTGTACCATTTCAATAGAAGCTGCGGCTTTTGATACAGATTTTACAGTAGTTCAAATTTTGGGGGTCTGTGGTAGTTGGTTTTGTGTGCAATATTTCTCTGTAGAAAACCTTTTATAATCAGATTCTGGGCAAAAGAATTGTGTTAACTAGTAAAATAACTGAAAAATGGTCAATTGCTTAATTCATTACAAATAATGTATTATTATGTGATCACAAGTGTACACCCCCTCCTCCAGCCCCATCAAATATAGTGCTACTTTTGATATGCAAGTTACCAATGGTTGAATGAATGAAAAGTCATAACAAATATCGCTAAGAATTCTTCAAAGGATATTGGAATATTCCATGAAAATATATTGGGTTATGTGAGATGGCAGTTTTCATGATCAGTTTATATTAGTGTACCCAATGCAAGGCTGTAAGTCACAGTGACTTTCTCGAATTTTCATTCACACAAATACATTCTAATTATCTTTGATGAACATTTTTATCATATATATTATCTTTATTTTTTTTATAAATCAAAATGACTACTAGAATTCAAATTGACCAATCTAGAAATGGTTTGGCAACATCACCATAAGTTATAATTAATATCAATGTGCTAGTTAAACGTTACCCAATCACAAAGCCCTTCATTTTAATTAAGTGGGTGGCTTGTGTGTACATTATGGGCATAGGCAACGTACAGCTCTTGCGCCAATCATTATTCAGGGATTGAAATATTTTTTTTCCCAGCATGCATAGTGTGCATGTTGAATTTGAAATTTACCTGCACTAACTTGTTGTGAAATGCACCATTTTTAAAGTTTAAATAAAATTTACAGGTTCTCAATTGATGCAATCACAAAAGAATTTGATTTTTTTTAGTTTTCTCACAATGTTGGTTGAACTTAATTTAGGCTTAGTGAATATAATGAGAAAATGTTAATTTCTTGTAAATGAGTAAAAATATCTGTGAAAAACTGGTTATTGTTTGTTTGTTTTGCTAGTGTCCTTGCTTATTTGTTTTAAATTCCCCTCCATATCCTTTGTTTTGTTTACCTCACTGCAATGATCACCCTTGATGGAAAACTGATGAAATTACTCAGTTGACATATTTTGTAGCAAAACCTGAAGACATTATTTAAATTAGATGACTGGGCTTGCTTGTATATTCATTATGAGATATTCAAGTGGTCCAGAGTTCTCTCTGACTGGTATCTTGAACTTTGCACTGTCATAATACTGTAAACACCTTTAAATTTTTTTATTTAGCAAGTCAGTGAAAATTGCACAATTTTGTAGAATGAAAATTTATCTGAGGTCCTAGAAAATTTCAAATCTAATTAAATCAAAGCAGCGATAATGACAATAATAAGTTCTGTTCATTTCCTTGTTAAATTGATAACGTATATGTAAATGTCCTGTTTTGATTAAAGAGTCAATGTTCCTATCTCGCATTTTGTTTATCAACATTTGTCTTTGTGTTTTATGTATTGTTGTGCATGTGCAAACTATATTGATGTTGAATGTTGACAGCAATTTGTATCTCAATCAGAAATGCAGAAAAGCAAGATTAATTACTCCTACATTAATTAGTTAATACCTTTAATTAAGTTAATTAAGACCACCTGTTGCCTGACAAATTTTCAAAAAACATACTAAATATTTATTATACAATGCATTATTCTGCTTCAATGTCATCAACAGATCATCGACCCCAAAACTACGGTAGCTAATTTCTTATCTGCAACATCAAATACGAGTTCCCAGTATTATTTATTCAGAAAGTGAAGTGTTCTTACTAACTTATGCATAAAGGAAGTAATTTTAAATTTGACTGAACAATTTTGAATTGATTTCCCGTTTTGTTTTGCACCATTGGATGCATAATACCCGGTAGTCACAATAATATGAGGTTATAACATGTTAATGTTTAACGTAGATTTTTACATATTTGCCTTTAATGGATGAAAATGTTTTCCATGTTCTTTAACATTTCACTTTATTTCATCTCATTATAATATGTGTTCAACATGAACAATTTTTTTAATGAAGATTTATGCATTTTTCTACAATTTTTAGATGTTAATTCTGTATAAAATGGACTTAACTATGCTGTAAGTCTTAATATGAAAAAAAGCAACTTTTATTTTGTGAAAAGTAAAGATAGTTGAGCTGACTTTGACGATCAAAGGCTCAATGTAGCACAATTTGAGCAAATCAATAACATAAACCTCAGCTTTTGTTTTATAAAAGACTTTTTCTTTATTGTTTTTTTATAAAATGTCACAAACTTTATTTGATATGATTTGGTGAAAATGTTAGCGGAGCTTTCAGATATTATAAAAGTCAAAATCATGGTCAAGGTTAGGTGTCACTCCTTGATAATTGCTTGGCTAGTGCTTTAAATACTTGTATGCAGTGAGACTGCAAGTATTTGTATTGCTTGCCTAATTGGTGGTGCATTGAACTATGGCGGTAATTCTTTGAAAACAACACCACTTTGGGAAACCATGTTCTGTTTACCTAATTAGGTGTAAGCACGAATTTTGTATTTCTAGATGAAATCTACTTTTGTTTTCTCCCTTTATGATAAAGTTTAACAAATAGTTATCAAAATTTGTTGGTTTCAGTTAAGACCTTTTTCAAATTGTAAGCAGTTTACAGAATTGGTCATTTGATGAAAGTTGCTCTTATTTTCTGTTTACAAATATTTTCATACTTGGTTCAAAAACAATAAACCAAATTGATACCACCTTTGACATTCATGCAATTTCTTCTCTAATCATATTTTTGACAGTAATTTGAAGTCTTGCAGTTGTTAAATTAGTAGGTTTAATATGCATGATGATTGAAAATGAGAAATTTATTTCATGCCTTAAACAAACTTTATTTTGCATCTGTAAGTGTAAATTTTTCTGAGGTTCCTGAGTCGGATGTCACCAGGCTCTACCAACGTGAAGCATACCTTAAGGATTTAACATTTCTTAAGTAATTCAATGAATTATAAACATTTTGTGTTCGCTCAAGGATTTATATATTAACAGCTGTGATCAGGGTTCTTTAATCAGATTCTTTCTCGCTAAATATTTTATGCCAATTTTTTTGGCAACAAGGATTCAATGTCATACATGTAGCAATGGGACTGCAATTTCATGATAACACAATTGCAGTGACAATTTGTCGTGGTAATACAGCTGCAATGACACACCAACATATCTGCAATTACATACATGTATCAAGTCTGG